GGCGGAGCACAGTGGGGCCGAACGGGGCGACCCCCAAAGCGCGCGGTGCGGACGGGGTCGCCCGTCAATGCGCACGAACACATCTTTCACGGGTCTTGCGAGGTCCGGAGAGTCGGATGATCCATTTCGAAATTTTATTGTTGCCTATTTGACTTACGCATTTAATGTCGTTTCCTTGATATTCATTTCTAGACAAGCAGTTGCCTTTTCACTTGTCAGTTTTATCTAAAAGCGGAAGGGGCTCACAAATTGAACCAAAAAGCTCGCAAAAGACTTATTTACATTGCATACTGAACTTTGCGTCGTATGGTTCCGAATCTGTTGTACAAATAATTTGACAATTCTCAATAGTGCGCTCATTCTCAGGAGAAAATTACGTGTGCATATATTGTTTTTATCATGACGTTCAAAAGAAACAAATTCACTAAGTTTATTGATCTTTAATATTGAAATGAGCTGATTTTTTCAATATACGCCTGAACCTACAAGTCAGACTGGTATTTTGTTGACGGTGTTTTTAAAACGGCAGTTGCAAGTTGTTAACGACTGTTTGCTAAAGTTTGTAACCATATTTTTGTGCTAGAAAAAACTGCATGTTCCTGAAATATGGATCGCTCTGCAACCATTCCAATGAAAACAGCAATTTCAAAATTTTCATATATAAGGGTGTATAAAATAGGTAACAGTCCCAGATGGCGATATTTTTACTTAGGCAAAAATTGACTGAGAAGGCTTTTAAATTGTTTGTCAATAGCTGTGATGTGGTTATGAATACAAAAAATACACATATGTTTAATGTTATAAAAACGCAAGTAACGGCAAAACACAATGGTGACCGTTGGTGTGTCTGTCCTGTCCGTAGCAGAAAATACGGCAGTGAAAATGAGTTGGTAGTAACGTTGGAATCTCGCTCTGAAGCCCAATGAAAGTTCATCAATACACACCCCGCCCTCCCTCGTCGATGGCGAGCCAATGGCCATGTTTCCAGAGAAATCAAACACAGCAATGAAAGACGACATGCACACAATTTGACGGTCTTTGAGCAGGCCCGCATTTTCCCGTCTTGTGAACCTCTGTGCGGAGGCGTGGCGCGGAGGGCAGTGGGCGGGGGGTGGCGAGGCGCTTCTGGGAAGTCTGCGTGCGCCGCGCCGCTCGGCGCTGCTTAGCTCCTCTCCGCGCTTCCACTGAATGCGACTCGGAAATAACTTGTTTACGTAAGGAACGTGACGCACCGCAGCTACCGCGCCCGCCGCGCCGCGCCACAGCGGCAGCAACAGCAACCACAGCCGCGACCGCCGCCGCCCCCGGCTCCGCCGCCAGCGCCGCTTCACGACTCGCGCGGGGTCACTTTGTGGGGAGCGACGCGTTTAGTGCCTCCCCACGTTCTTCCCTGCGCCGCCTGTGACGCCTCTGCCGCCTCCGCTGCCGCCGCCTCCGCCGCCGCCGCCGCCACCGCTGTCTATGCCGCCGACATCGCGACGCGGCGACAACCTGCACCCGTCTGCGGTAGCACACCTCAGTCATGTGTGCACATTCAAGGGTCCTGATCTTAAAAATGAACCAGAGACAATGAAAAACGACCATTTTAATTTTAAAAAAATTGAATGTCAAAGGTAGTTGTGTCTGGCAGAGAGGTCGTAAGACCTTCATTACCCGTACACTTGCCGACTTGGAGAGCAGAGGTAGCAGAGGCTGAAGGGCTGGAGCCGCCTTGGCTTCAAGGGTCGCAGGTTCGAATCTCGCTCCGGGCATGTATATTTGTGTATGTGTTCCCCCACCGTTACCCCAAAGTTAAAGAAGTTACAATGGTCATTATATGGTCAAGTAGTTGAAAACGACAAAAAAACAACAAAAAACCACGTACATTTGAAGATCGGAAGCAATGCAACGAACCATCTCACCATTTGCTCTGTGGCAACGAAGAATACCTGATAGAGGCCTGATCTTTGATTTTCATGGTTATGAGACGCGAAATATTTACGCGCTTCATTCACCACCAATCCAAAGAAATCACCAACCTGTGACACCTTGGACGTTGAGTTTCTGGGACGCGAAACGTTTAGCCGTTTCTTCAATCACGGTGCTTTGGGAACCGTATGTCATGTCTCTGTCTCCAGAAAACGGATCTATGACGTATGGATCTTACTTTTATTTCCCAAAAAGCTCAAAGATGCCAAGGTTCTACAGGGGTGGATGCAGAATATTCTCAATGACGGTGTGATTCCTGAGGTCTGATTCTTGAGGTCTCAAAATGCTATCTCATACCACATTGAACTTCGAAACTGTAGATGACGTGTGAACATCTCGGAAGAACTTGGGAATGGGAGGAATGAACGTGCAAGTGAGGAAAAAACGCTTACGACAGTTGTCTCCTGTATACGACGCGATTAAATGCTACGGTTGCTATCAACGAAATCTACTTTTGCTTTTTTCCCCCTTTCGAATTCATAAAGCGAGTGTTGTCGTGCCTACACGCCTAATGGCAGCCACTAACGGCGATCACCGGGAAGAGAAAATGCAACCGAAGTTTCAATTGGATTGCAGTAGTCGCCGAGTACACACGCAGCGGACGGTGCTAAATCCGCAACTGCAATTGCAGTGTTCGCGTAAT